CTTCTCCAGTGAACCCCTCTCTCTGGAATCAGAAGTTCTTCCCTTTCTGCTAGATCTCTCACATCAGCCCACAAACGTGCTATATGACCCATGGCTTCAAAAGTCTTTCTAGGGGGACCAGCTGGTGGCATGGAAATTAAGGTGGCTGGATCCTACCTAGCTGATTCTGTGGTCTGAGTTCTAGGCCCAGGAATCATGTATATATATTTTTCCTAGTATGTATTCTCTATGAACTTTTTGGTGACCACCTCCTTTATGACAATCCTCTTAGTCCTGAGCTGATTTTTTTATGTGGAAGCTGGAAGTGGCGATTATTCAGGCTGCAGTATTACTGGAGAATCTTGAGGAATGGGGTCTGGACCTATGAGGAAACGGTTAACATTGAATAAATTAAACTGTGAACCACTGATCTGAGAAGAGAAAAAAGAGCTGGGAATACCAAGCACTCTGAACAGATTAAGAAAAAGCTCAGAGGCAAAAGCAAAATGCAGCAAAACGTGGGTAGTCAGCAAAAGCTTTGGCTTCTTTAGAGGTGGCCTGGATTCCAAGGCCACTGCTTTTGCATGAAGGCAGCTGTGGTGGAGTAATCTGACATGCATCTAGAATCAGAGAAAAGCTTAGAAGCTCTAAGACTCTGTTACAAATGACTTTACATCTCAGCCTCAGATCTCTGGGCACATAGCTATTATATGAATGAGTTAAGAAATCAATGGTTATAAAAACTGTAAAGTGTCAGTGTCATTTCTAGGTACAAGGAATTTTTAAAAGGATGACTAGGGCACCAGCAGACAGTGTAGTGGTTGAGGTGCTGGACTCCTACATGGTCAACCACAGTTCGAGTCCCAGACTCGGTGGATTGAATTTCACACCAGGCATGTATGTGTGCATGCCCAAAATCCTGAGAGGAGAGTGAAGGAGAGGGGTTGCAGCATGCTATTTCCCTCACTTTATGTCTCTCTGTCTCTCTCTCTGTCTCTCTCTCTCTCTCTCTGGTGAGCACATATGCCCTATAGCAAAAATTTCTCAATAAAAAAAAAAAAGAGCAACCAGAAGAATGAAAAAAAAAGTAAGGAATGGAAAAAGAGCAAAGAGACACAGAATAACTTGGTCCTTGTGCCAAAACTTATGAATAGCTGTCATGAGGAAAATAGAGAAAGACAGCTAGTGCCGTAGAGGTTGAGGCGGCTGGAGCCCACGTGGCCAACTGTGAATTGAAGTCTCAGATCTGGCAACTTAAAAATAATGCTGGGCACTGTGCCTGCATGCCTAAGACCCCAAGAGGAGGAAGAAAGGGAGAAGAAGGAATTGTGGTGTGAACATTCTCCATGAGGGGTGCTTTCTTGCACGTGTTTTCTCTCTCTCTCTTTTCTCTCTGTCTCTGTCTCTTTCTCTTGTACACGTGTATACCTATGCCCCGGTGAGTGAATGTGCCCTCTGGCAAGTTAAAAAAAAATAGAAATTTGCCCCATGTGGACCTAACGGTGGAAAACCAGGACTAGTATACATCAGCTACTGATAGGCAAGTGTGGGCTCAATATATAGAAATTCCTAAATGATAAGAGCTGCTTAAACATGGAATTTACTACCTCTGGTGGTAGTGAGCTTTGTGTCACCAAATATCACAGTGTCTGGACAACTATGCAATAAGATTCAAACATAAAATGGAAGAAGTAGAGACTCAGCACAAATTCCGAATTCAGCAAACTGGAGGTAAATTTGGGTAGAATGAGTTTGAAGGGAGGAAAGTAAGTCATTCAAGTAGAGGAGAAACCAACAAGGCTAGAGATCTCAGAAAACCACCACAGAATACCAGTCACTGAACACAGAAAGTCACTTCATTCCCCATTACTAGATTTGGTAAACAAAAGCCAAGTAGAGCTAAATATTTTAGGAAGCATGCCAGTGGGGTGCCACCAGACCCCTACTAGCCTAGGTGGTACCTGTTGGAATCACACGCAGATGTAGCTCCCTGCTAGGGCACACAGCTTGGCACGGGGAGTGTGGACTGAATTCCATTGCCTGCTTGCCTCCTTAGCAGAACGTCCTTGTGCGAGGTGCAGCCTACCCAGATGTTCACTGAGTGGCCTAGGTGCCATCAAGATGTGGACGTTTCCTGACTTCCTCCAGGGGCATCCACGTTGCAGATGATGCGTGCACATTCATAGCTTTGGAAAGACCAAACAAGTATTTATCCTAGGACAGGAGACATTTTTGAGGCCTACTTTTCTTAGTATCATGAAGAATGCACACAAAAGCAACCTTCATAGCCCTTCACATTACACACAGTGCTTGCACACCCATTGTCTTCTTTTATCCCTACAACAATCCCGTGTGCTATACATTACAATCATTGTCACTTCACAGATGAGGAAAAAGAGGTCTGGCAGGACTGAGCTAGGAAGTCGTGAAGCCTTTTCCTATACAGCAATATATTTTACAGCTATAAACTCTCGATCACCACATAATTGTATAAATCTGTGCAGACCACACTGGCCCTGGAAGGATCTATAAAAAAGGGAAAAATAGAAGAGCATGGAGCATTCCTAGGTTTAGCTGAACCACCGGTAACTCTGCTCAACCCCCCTACACTTCATTCAGCTCTGCTTTCAGGTCCATATGGCCAGCCTCAGCGATTTCTCCATTTGTGCCTCGGCCTGAGATTTTCATTCTAACGAATCCCAACTTTTGGGTCAGTCAATAGCCTCCTGTTCTTGGCCCTCTCCTTCATGACACTCTCCACAAGTGGATTTACTCTTACCAAACCCCTGACCTGTCCTGAGAACTCCTTTTCTACTTCCTATCTTGGAGGTGGCCCTCATCTGTGATAGAGGTGCTGCCAAATCTCCTTTGTTTCCAGTGTTCTTTTAGGCTGTAGAGGAGGGTTACACTGAGCCCTCCGTACTCTCTAGAGTCTCTCTTAACAGTAAACCAAGGAGGTTGGACAGAATTAGACATTCAGTCTGTGGGGTAGAGCTCAGTCTGGGGCTAAAATGAAGGCTCCATTTGGATCAAAGATCAGAACAAGGGGTTGACCAGTGGCCCAGGTTAGGGCTCTGATCTTTTCTATGAGAATAAAGGAAGTAATAATTCCAGAACAGCTTTATCCACCCACCTGATTCCCGATGTCATCCACCTGCTTGTGAATAACTATGATAACTGATGAAATCTCCTAGCAAAGATTAGCCCTTCCAGTCTCTTTGGATCTCAAACCTCTTGCTTTTTCTGGGATTTTTCAAGGGCTTCTCCAGTGAACCCCTCTCTCTGGAATCAGAAGTTCTTCCCTTTCTGCTAGATCTCTCACATCAGCCCACAAACATGCTATATGACCCATGGCTTCAAAAGTCTTTCTAGGGGGACCAGCTGGTGGCATGGAAATTAAGGTGGCTGGATCCTACCTAGCTGATTCTGTGGTCTGAGTTCTAGGCCCAGGAGCTTGAAAATCACACTAGGCATGTGTGCATGCATGCCCAAAATCCCAAGAGGAGAACAGAGTAGGGATTGTGGTGTAGCCATTCCCTCTGGCGTGGGAGGGTGATTTCTCACTTGATCTCTCTATCTCTCTCTGTCTCTCTCCAGTGAGTGCACGTACCCTACAGCAAAAAATAAGTAAATACATAAAAGTCTTTCCATTTGAACTTGTGTTCTTACACCACTCTATTTCTTTACCCACTACCACGAAACTTCTAGAAAGAATTGCCTGGAGTGGCTGTCTCTGCTTCCTCACCTCTTTCTTTATCTTCAACCTAGTTCACCTGAGTTCCAGCGCCTAACAGTTCACCGAAATGTGGCGTCAGTCTCCCAGTGGTCAGTCACTTCCCTGCTCTGTGGGATGTCTTGATAGCTCTCTCTCCGGGTTTTTCTTCTACTTCTGCTTCTCTTTCAAATGACTTCCCTGGGCTTAGCCTAGGCCTTCTCCAGTTCTTTCTTTCTAACCCCCTCTCTCCTTCTGTCTAATAGACCCTCGGCTTCAGAGATCGTTTCTGTGCAAAGGACCCTACATTTATTCTCCCAGCCCTGACTGCTTCTCGGCGCCTCATCCACAACCTGCTCTCTCACCACCTCCCTCCTCTGATCCCACGGGCAGCTCACACCTCATGTGACCTCGAACTGGACTTTCCGTACCTCTTTTCCTCCACTCCCTCAAACTCTGCTTCTTCTCAGCCTTCCCCATCTCGGTTAATGGAGTGAGACGCACAAGACAAAAACCTCAGCATCACCCTCATTTCCTCTCTTCCCCTCACCTCCACATCGTATCGGTCACAACAGTCACACTGGCTCTATCTCCCACGAACAAAATCTGCTCACTCTCCTCCAGTTCCACTATGAGCCAGGACACCATCATCCCCTTTGCCCACTGTCTTAATATCCTCACTGGGCTTCCCAAACTCCTCAAAGGCTCACCATCCTCCATGCCAAAAAGTGAATGATCTTTCAAGAACAGAAATCGATGTCGTAACTCTTCTTTAACCCCCGCCCCCTGTAGCTTCTATGTAAAGCTGGAATTCAAACCCCTTACCTTGACTTACAAAGTCTTACTTCGCTTGGCTCCTCCTATCTCTCTAATGTTCTCTCTTAGAATTGCCTCCTTCAGTGAAGGCCCAGCTTCACTGGGCTTCTCTCTGTGTCCTGAGGAGACCAAGATGGCTCCCTACCCTGGAACCTTTGCCCAGACTACGCCCTCTGCTGGAAATGCTCCTTCTCACCACTCCCCCGATATTCTCTATCATGTAGACTATCTCCTTTCAAGAGATTTACGTGTCTCTTCTTTGTCATTGACTAGATGACATGTGTGAGCAGGAACTCTACCTACCTCGTAGGTCAATGCTTCAGCATGAAGCACTGGTGGCTCATGTGTTGCATTAATGAAGGAACGGATTCTCTCTCTTCACAGAGGTCCCCATGACTACTCATTAAGCTGGCAGGCTCTGCAGTCACACTGGCTTGGTTCAAATCCCAGCTTCCCTACTTAGTGGGAATGTGCCTTTGGGCACGCTTTGTCCATGGACTTCGGTGTTGTCATCAACAGAATGAGGTTTATGGTAGCACTTGCCTCAGAGATTCGCTATGCACGGGTAAGAGTTAGCCCATTTCAATGATGTGATACAACAGTCCTAGCAGATAGTAAATGCTCAATAAAATTAGTGATGACTGCATCATCCCATAGCAGCCCTAGAAGGCAGGATTTCTCAGTTGGCAGGACTGGCATTTGGGGTGGGATAATTCTGCTTCATGTGCTTGGGGTGGGGTATGGGAGCACCACACTTTGCACGGTAAGATATTGGGCAGTGCACAGCCTCCACCCCCAGATGCCAGCAGCACCTCTCCAGATATGACAATCCAGGGACCTCTTCAAGTGTCCCTGGGGCCAGACAAGAGGGCGAAACCACCACTATCACACAAGACCTATTACCCTCTTTGACAGATAAATAACTTGCCCAAGGTCAATGGCTACAAAGTGGTGGAGAAGGGATCGATCCTCCTATCTCCTGGGTGCTGCAGTGTGTGTTCTTTCCTCCGAGGCTCACTGTTCTCGAAGTCCCAGCCTCCCTACTCCCTCGCCCTGGCTGGCTGGCACACTCACAGATCTGTGCTAATTACACAGCAATGTAAAACTTTATATGTGGTTTGTTATTTTATATCCAGGAACATGGTCCGCAGCCTTCATTACATAAAGCAGCTGTGTGTATACTTGGGGTCTAAGTGCTATTTAGTGGTCAGCTCGATGGGGTATTTTGTTTCAAGCATCACATTTCTTTTTTTTTTTTTTCCCCTTTCCATACTTTTGTTGAATCCTACATAGAGGAGTGGAGCCTCTATGGGCTCCACAGATTGGGCTGAAGCAAAAGGTAAAAGTCTCCTACATGGCAATCCCACTGTCCTAATTGGTTGGGAGATATGGCCCAGGAACGGCCACCCATGATATAAATGTGTCCCCGGCGATTGCGTGGACAGTGCTCACAAGCCACAGCCTGTCTGGTTGCTGATAGGTGAGATCCAAGTTGCTTTCCTGTTCATGTCTTAAAGGGAGCAAGTCTTTTGGAGAAAAGACTAGACAGCCCTGCCTATCAGCTGTGTGACTTTAACATGTCATGGTTCCCCTCTGAAACTCAGTTTTCTCATTTTTAAAATGGAAGTAATACAATCTGTCTCACAGGACCAGCAGTTGGCGTAATGGCTATGTCGTTGAACTCCCATGTAGCCAACCATGGTTTGAGTCCCAGACCCGGTGGCTTAAACTCACACCAGGCTCATGCACGTGTATGCAAGATCCCAAGAGGAGAATGGAGGAGAAGGGATTGCAGTGTGGCCATCCTCCCAGGGAGTAATTTCTCGCTTTCTATCTCTCTGTCTCTGTCTTTCTGGCAAGCACACACGCCCTATAGCAAAAACCTCTCAAAAAATAATCTGCCTCACAATGTTGCTGAGAATCTTTAGTTAAAGGGTCTGGGGCAGAACAGGCCTAGATAACCCACAGCTCCTTTTCCTCCTTCTCTTTTCCTTCCTTTTCACTTTCATCCCTTCCCTTCCCTAGGGTACAAGCAAGGCTCTTCCCACCAGTTTAAATCTTACTTTCCCTTTGTAGCCTAATCCACATCCTGCCTTCTCCAGAAGATGGCGCTGACCCTTCTGCTCTCACTGACAACCCGTGGACTTTTACAATACTATATCCCTCAGCTTTTTATTTATTTATTTATTTTTTTGGCCATCTGTAAACTTTTTTTCCTTTACTCTTTCAAAACATATCATTGATGGGCCAGCTCCGTGGCTTAGTGGTTAAGAGAGCCAGATCCCACATGGCTGACTGTCATCATTTGAATCCTGGTCCTGGAGAGTTGAAAAATATGCTAGGTATGTGTGTATGAGTGTCCAAAATCCCACCAGGGTGGAGAAATGGAGGAGAAGAGACTGCAGTATGGCCACATCCCATGATGGAGGTGTGCTTACTTCCCCCCACTCTCATTCTCTTATCTCTCTGTCTCCATGGTGAGTTTATATACCTATTGGCAAGTTTAAACAGAAAAATCATTGATTGATACAGATTGTATATATTCAAGGCATAACGCATAATGATTTAATGTGTGTATACATTGCGTAATGATTTTTACAATTAAATTAACACACCCATTGTCACCCATGCAGTACAGTAGATACTGAGAACTATTCGTTTTATAGCCGAAAGCTAGTATTTGGGTCAATCCTGTACACTGCTGGTGAGAATGTAATTGGTATTGCCATGGAAAACACTGTGAAGGTCCTGCAAAAGGTTAAAAATAGAGCTACTGTATGACCCAGCAATCCCACTTCTGGGTATATATCCAAAGGAAATAAAAACAATATCTCAAAGAGATAGTTGCACGCCATATTTGTTGCAGCATTACTCGCTTAAATGCACTTTCACTTGATACTACTTAGGTTTTGTTGGCGGTAAGCAGCCAGAGGGCAGGACTATTATTCCTTTCTGCCTCAGACACTAATGTACACAGAGGGACTCGAGGCATTTTTTTAAGTTCACAGCCAGTGCATACTATTGTTATGTCCCTGAGAGATGAGCACTTCCAGTTGTGCAGACCTCCCACGTGGACCCCAAGTGTTAGTCACTTCAGCCAGCACCCATGATGTGCGCAGGACTAGCTGAGATCATCTCTGCTGAATGGCAGGAAGGAGGACTTTCTAGGATCATGCGTGCCCCTCCGCAGTAATTCCACGTTCTGGTTCTTTCCTCTCAGTGTTTCCGGTTTCCCGGAATACCTTCGCATGTGCTGTTCCCTTCCTTCCCCTGACCTTCCTGTTGAATGCAAAATCATCTTCTTGGCTGACGTCCTCTCTTCCGGGGTAACTTAGTTTTGCCTTTTCTCCCTCTACTTGTTTCCCAAAGCACCTCCTTTGTTTGTATCTCTGTTCTTCTCGCTGGGTGGCAAGTTCCCTACAGAGAAAACCCTTGGTTGATTTCTCTGGACCCTCCACTTCCCCTCTGGGCTAGACCACAACAGGCTCTCCATTTTCCTGCTGCCCTCTAACATAGCAAGTCTAATCGTTCATTGTGCTTCAGTGCCCATGTGTCTTTTTTTCCCACTGCCATGAGGCAGCACCCCTTCCTAACTTATCTTGGTGTCTTTTTTCCTGTGCTCTAGACTATTTGAAGCACGTTGAACGTCTTCATGCTCCAAGGAAATTGTCTTCTTCAATCCTGATGGGTATACTTCCAACCAAGACAAGTAAAGACAGAGCATAGGGTTAGGTGGGAGGAGGCAACTCTGGGAGAGGAGGCAGAGCTGGAACACAGGCCAGGCCAGGCCCATTTGAAAATGCCAGTGTGGCCAATGGTCCAGGCAATCGCCAGCCAAGAGGGCAGCCCTCAGGCCCAGAGCATAACTTCTCTATTGTATCAACCGAGCAGGGGATCCCTCACCTCTCTCTCTGCCAGAGACGCCCTTCAGTAGGCTCTGTGCTCCTGGAACTGCTCAGGAGGCAAACTTTGTTGGTTTAGTTACGCTACAAGGCTTCTGCTCCTGCCCTGGCTGTTACAGCCTACAGATTCCTCGTACCAATCTGATTGAACAACTTAATTAAATTGCAATAAAAGGCAAGTGGGCCGGATGTGCCTCAGGGGAGAGGAGGCAGGAGTCTGAGGCCACAGCCCCACTCCTGAACTCTTCCCATCCTGCCTGAAGGCCCTGGGCTGGCTGTGACCATGGAACTCAGAATGCTGGCGTTGGGAACAGAAGCCCTGAAAGGTTACCTATTCCACATGCTTATTGGTCCTGGTGATGCAGGCTTGCAGTTCGTGCTGAGGTCCAGAGAGGACAATTGAACCACCAGCACCCACTCAAATGAGATGACTAGCAGAAGCACTGCTAGTCTCTGGGGCTAAGGCCTTACCACCCTCCTGGATACCTCTTGCTACACCAAACACCAAGAGCCTGTTCTTGAATAGAACTCCCTCCTGAGGCCATGAACTTGTTGGTCCTTTTTTGGTGACAGCTTCATAGAGATGTGTAATAGTTCATGTACCATACAATTCGCCTGTTTAAAGTCAATTATCAATAGATGGCTTTTGGTATACTCACAGGGTTGTAGAACCACCACCATATTAGAATTTTTTTTGAGAGACCTTTTTGCTATCAGGTGCATGAGGTCACTAGAGACAGAGAGAGACAGAATGAGAAATCACTCCCCGGGGGGTGGTCATGCTGTAATCCCTTCTCCTCTATTTCCCTCTCAGCATTTTGGGCATGCACCCATCTATGTCCGGAGTGAACTTCAAGCCACAGGGTCCAGGACTCAAACCATGGTGAGCCATGTGGAAGTCCAGTGCCTTAACCACTATGCTGCCTGCTGACCCCCCATATGAGAATATCTTAAGTATTCCAAAAAGAAACCAGTATCCATTAGCTATGGCCTCCCAATTTCCCTTTTCTTCCTAGTTCTAGACAACTACAAATCTGTTCTTTGTCTCTGTATATTTGCCTCGTCTGGATGTTTCATTATGGACGGAATCATAACCATGCATGTCCTCCCGTGGCTGGCTTCCTTCATTTACTAATAGCATAATGTTTTCAAGACTGAGCCACATTACAACACATATCAGCACTTCATTCCATTCCATGGCCAAATAAGATTCCATGGTAAGGGGGGACCAGCAGATGGTGTAATGGTTACATTTCTGGACTTTGATGTAGTCGACTGCTGTTTGAGTCCTAGACCTGGCAGCTTTAAACTCATAGCAGGCACATGTGCATGCATGCACAAGATCCTGAGAGGAAAACGGAGAAGGAATTGTGGCATGGCCATTCCCCCTTGGGAAGGGTGATTTCTTGCTTTCTGTCTTTCTGTGTCTCTCCGGCAAGCACATGCATCCTATAGCAATAATCTCTCTTTAAAAAAAAAAAAAAGATTCCATCAAATTATACACCACATTATTTTTCCTTTTTGTTTTAAGAAGTTTTTGCTATAGAGTGTGTGCACTCACCAGAAGAACAGAGAGAGACAGAGAGACCGAATGCAAGAAATCACCCCCCAGAGGGGATGGCCACACCACAATCCCTTCTCCTCTATTCTCCTCTCGGTATCTTGGCCACGCATGCACACACCCCTGGCATGAGTTTAAGCCACCGGGTCCTGGACTTGAACCACGGTCGACCACATGGGAGTCCAGTGACAGAGCCATTACACCAACTGCTGGTCCCAGGATATACCACATTTTAAAAAAATGTACACACGCGGGGCCAGCAGGTGGCTTGGTAGCTATGGTTATGGCACTGGACTCTCACATGGCCAAACACCATTTAAGTCCTGGACCCAGCAGCTTGAAAATCATTCTGGGTACATGTGTGCACATATTCAGAATCCCAGGAGGAGAATGAAAGAGAAGGGACTGCAATGTGACCGTCCCTCTTGGGCAGTGGTTTCTCACTTTCCCTTCACTGTTTCTTTCTGTTTCTATCTGACAAGCACATGCACCCTATGGCGAAACCTTAAAAAAATTGACATATATTTTAAGGCGTGCAATATAATAAATTGATATATCACAGTTTATCAATTCATTCAACAGTAGATGGACATGTGGGTTATTTCCTCATTTTGGCTTTTAAGAATAATGCTGCCATCAACATTTATGTACAAGTTTTTGTATGAATGTAAGTTTTTTATTCTTTTGGGTATACGCAGAAGGTGGGTCTCCAAAAGTTCATGGAAAATGTGTATTATTATTAAAAAAAAAAAAAACTATGCATGGATCTCAACATTTTGGCACCAAAATAAACTTTCACTTTTATTTTATTTTCCATAAACTTTTTGAAGTCCCTTCATAGATCTAAGCATGGAAACACATATTTGTCCTCGCACCTCATCAACAATACCAGTAACAATACCGAAGACCCTAAGACATTATTGCACAAATTAACTCATGGAAAAATCGAGAGGATAGAAAGCTGGCTGGAGAGAGGCAGAGAAGCTAATCTGTCCCTGGTCACGAACAGGGCCACGATGAAGGAAGTCACAGCTAGCATTCCTGACAAGTAGCCAGCAGAGCTTTTTCATAAATTTGGAGAAAAAGACACAAGGAAAGTTTGATTTCCTGTCACAAAGAGAGGAAAATTTAAAACATCTCTCTCTCTCTCTCTCTCACACACACACACACACACACACACACACACACAAACACACATTTATGAGCATCATCACTTTTCACTTTATCGGGCTCTTTCTCATCCACGATCGGCCTTGTGTCTTCTAGTTCTGTAATGAAGACCATGAACTTCCTTTCAGTGGAGTTCAAGTCTTTCCTCTAACGCTTATGAAGGAGAGTGGTAACTTTGTATGGAGTTTCAGAGTCTCCGAGTGGTTCTTTAAAGGCCTTCTCTCTCCTAATAGCTGCAGTTCGGGGCCCTGTGTAGTGCACACCCGGGGCTGTACTGCGCTCTCTGAGGCCTGGCCCTCTGGCCTGCTCAGCGTCTGTCACCAGGGGTGAGTGTGGCTCAGAGGCTGAGGTTGCTCCAGACACCTTGTAGGCTGAACCACATTGAGTTGCCAACAGCCATTCATTCTTGAATTACAAAAAGTAGCAATTTCATGTGTCTCCTATGGTTCCACCCGCCAGTCTCTGGCATCCCCTCAGTCCCCTTTTTGTGTTCCTCCCAGCAGCCCAGAGCCTGTGCTCTGGGGAGCCTTTCTGCCCCTCCAGTGAACCAGTCTTTCTTGCTCTGCCTTCTAGAGTGCCCATTCTCCAGCTGCTCATCTGGTGCCAGGAGGCAAGACTGGAGAAGCAGGAGAGCACTGGGCTGGGAATCAGGGACCTAGGCTTGGGGCCCAGGTCCCGGCTCACTGCCTGTCTCTCCACTGGTCTCCCTGCCTTAAACTTGCCGGCATTATTTCATACCCTCTCTAAGCACAGATCCACTCCAGCCACCCTCAACTCCCAGCCTTTCCAGGACTTCTCATCAGCTAACACGTACTTCCCAGCCCTGCTTCAGCTCCTACAGCCTGTGCCTGGCCAGCCATGCCTAACTGCTTACAGTCCCCTGCACTCACACCTCTGCGCCTCACACCAGCCCTTCTTCCACCTGGAGAACCTCGTGCCCCTTCTCGCTCAGCTACCTCTGACTTGTCCTTTGAGATCACTTCCGGGAGTCTTCCCTGAGCCCCCACACTGTCTTAGGTACCCTTCCTCCTTGCTCCCTCTTCCTTGTGCTTGTCCCTCCTGGCACTCACCATCTGTGCTTTAATCGCCTCTTTGAATATCTGTCCCTATCTATCTCCCTAGCTAGGCTGTGGGCTTCTGACCATGCACCTGATGCATCCTTCAGTCTTCGTTGCCATGGTAGTCAGTAAGTGCACACTTGGCAGAACTAAACAGGCATGCCTGTGACTCGGTATAGGGCTCTTCCAATTCCTGTGGCCTAAGGCTGGGAAATGAATCCTGCACAAGGGCCCTGGGTGGGTTCAAGGAAGTAGATGGTACAGTATTACTTAAATAGAAGGTTCCAAGGGATTTTCAGACTGATTGCTTTGCTTCTGTATGTATGTGTGTATTTTATTTTTTTAAAGAATTATTTTATTTAACTCTGTTTATTTACTTATTTATTTTAATTTGACCAGAGGGGGACAGAGAGAGAGTGAGAGAGAGAAAATAAGAAAGCAAGCCACTAGGTCCGGGACTCCAACAGCGGCCATCCATGTGGGTATCCAGCGCCCTTAACCACCACCCCCCACCTGCCTTCCCCAGTATGTATGTATGTATTTTCACTCAGCCGGTATTTGCAGAGCACCTACTAAGTACCTGCTGTTGTTAAGCACAACGGTGGGATGTACAGTTGTAAATACCAGCTTCCAGTATTGCCCGTGACTGCTGGGAGGGTCCACCCACTGCTGTTTACTCCCGCAGGACCCCCGGGACGGACGCGTTGGGAGAGAAGGATCCACGTCCCCAAATGTGTCCCTGTCGCCCAGCCCGCGTCGCCTGCCGAGCCCGCGGAGGTTGGTGGAGCCGGGCTCGGCCGGGGCGCCCTCTGGCGGGGGGGGGGCGGAGCCCAAGGGCGG